GTTGGAAGGTAGCAGGTGCATTTTTCAACCCAAACGGCATCACCTTGTAACAATATAACCCCTGATCAGTGACAAATGCCGTCTTTTCCTGATCCTTCTTCCAAAGGGGAATCTGATGGAAACCTGAGTAGGCATCCATGAAGCTCATCAGAGCATGAACGGCTGTAGAATCGACCAAATTGTCTATCTTTGGAAGCGGGTAACTGTCCTTTGGACATGCTCTGTTCAGATCTGTGTAATCTACACACATCCGCCAGGTACCATTCGGCTTTTTCACAAGGACAACATTTTCTACCTAATCCGGGTAGTAGCATTGCCTAATGAACCCGGCATCCAGTAGCTTCTTGACCTCGGCGGCTGCCGCCTGAGATCTTTCGTCACCGTGGTTCCTCTTCTTTTGCCTAACCGGCTTCTTTTTAGGATCCACGGCAAGTTTGTGGACAGCTAGATCCGAACTAACGCCTGGCATCTCTTCCACTTCAAATGCAAAAAGGTCCTTGAATTATCTTATCAGTTGGAGCAAGTCTGTTCCCAACCTTTCAAAAGCAACCGTCCCCACTTTGACAGTTATATCTGGCCGGCTTTCATCTAATATGATATCTATACTCTCGCCAGCCGGCTGGGGTCGGAGGTCATCTGACCTTTCCCTGGACAATGACTGCTATAGTTTTTCTTTTTTGACGGGTGCCATTTGGTCTGCCTTTCTATTTTTACCGGCTGCTCTCGGAGCCGGTGCTGCTTGATCACAGTCGTCAAGTCCTACAACATCCTCGTCTTGACCATCTGCAACCATTGTTGGTTTGACGTCTGAGAGGTAACATTCTCTCGCCGTTTTCTGGTCCCCACTCAAGGAACCGACTGTGCCATCATCCCTCTCAAATTTTATCAACATGAGAGATGGGATGATGACTGCTTTGGAAACATTAAGGGTTGGAAGTCCCAAGATTAGATTGTAGGCCATCAGCTCCTCAACAACAAGGAATTTGATGACCATGTGTCGCCCGCTGCCTTTTTCACCCAGCCGGATGGGTAGGTCAATCCTCCCCACCGGATGCACTACTCCTCCCCCAAAACCAACTAAAGGGTGAGGAGCTTGATGCATGCTGCTAGGTTTGTACTTGAGCTTCGTCAAGCACTGATAGCTTATGAGATCAGACAAGCTCCCGGTATCGATGAGGATCCGGCCTACTCGCTGATTAGCTACCTTACATTCAATGACTATGGGGTCATCATGAGGCCGTCTGACCTGGCCCCGATCCTTTTCAGAGATAAGAACCTCTGGGAAAGTGTTTTTAGACGACTGACCCTCATCAACTGAGTTAACCAGCCTCCTAATGTTGTCCTTGGTTCCCCGGATGGTAGGACCCCCACCAGCGAATCCATCTGCTACGGTGAAGATGTTTTCCTCATCCGTATCAGAATGACTAGCCGATGTTTTAGACGGCTGTCCCTTGATTTGCCTGGGAGCATCCTTGGACTTTGGCATGTAAGATTTTAGTGCCCTCTCATCAGCCAACCGGTCAAACAGCCGCCTGAGACTGAAACAACCTTTAGTATCATGACCAACATCCTCATGGAAGTGGCAATATTTGCTTTTGTCCCGGCTGTTGACAGCACTTTTCATTGCTGCCGGCTTCTCAAGTTTTAACCGGTCTTTCACCTCCTTTAGAATGGAGGTGCAGTCTTTTGTGAATTCATACTTTGGAACGTATGGATCTGATCTCCTTCCTCTTTTCTGGGACGGCTGACCAGCAGCTTCCGCCGCCCATACTTCTTTCCTTTTCCTTTTTTTTTTTCTTTGCCGGCTGAGTAGGCTGGCTCTCTCTCTTATCGACTTTCCTGTATTCTGATGGAATCTTTACAGCACAGAGTTCCATCGCCTATATATAGGCCTCAGCTTCCATTAAGGCCTCATGGAGGGTGGAAACTCTCTTCCTGACCAAATCAAAGTAGACCCGTCTTTCAAACCCTTGAAGAAGTCTGTGTAGGAAACATCATCAGACAGCCCCTGAATCTGGATTCTCATCAGATTGAACCGCCTGATGTAGGACCTTAGTCCTTCCTTCTCTCCCTGCTGTATTGTCCCTAAATCAAGGGTCGTCTTTTTAGCAGGAATTTTCATGGAAAAGTTTGAAGTAAACAAGTAAGCCAACGTTCTAAATTGTTGATACATCTGGCTGGAAAATTGCCAAACCACCGTTGGGCAATTCCCTTCAACGTAGTCGGGAAGCATCTGCACCAAGAGGCGTCCTCCAAACCCTGCAAATACATCAGGTTGGTGTAAGTCATGAAGTGATCTTTCGGATTGGTAGTACCGTCATAGGCACCAACCAATACATTTTTTATTTTTGCTGGCTGTGCCGCCTCGGTTATATCCCTTGAGAACGCCGTAGGCTGTTCCCCAAGGTTTAGCAGACGGAGCTGCCAGTCCATTGGCTGGACGTGTGGCGGCTGACCCCCAAAGAGGGCCGGTTGCATGTAAGGAGATCCATACGGCATGTATGGTGACCCATACGGTGCCGGCTAGATAACATTAGGGTCAGACTGCGCGGAAACCTCGTGGGATTGACTTTCTCTGTTTGTCTCAGAATGCTGCATAGATGCATTCTGGAAACTGTCCGGGTAGGTCGACGTTGAGGCCGACGCGGACATGTGATGACTTCTCTTTTCTTGGATTAAAGTTCAAGCGTCAGAGTAAGTCTTTTTTTATCCATCCGGCTGTATATGCCGGATGGGCTTCTTTATTCCCTCTGCAGGGAAACGAAGTTTCGAAATGTCGATGATCTTATCCGTCACCTTTGTCTTTGGGTGAGGCGTAGGCATGTGGTCTTTCAACGACTTGGGCGTTTTTTTTCCGGGACGAAGTTTTTCCTCCGCCTGACCCTTACGAGGGTTGGTTGACTTGTTAAGGAGGTTTTTGATCTCCCCTTTGAAGCTCGTCATGAGGTTCAGGAGTTTGTCTCTTGAGACAGGGGTAGCTCCTTCCGCCGCCTGGGTTAACCCAGTCGGCCTTTCGGTCGAGCTACTAGGAGCAGCCTCAGCCTCACCCCGTTCCTTCCTTTCTTTGGAACGGGTGCGCTTTGTTCTAAAAGACCCGTCTGGGGCAGTATAATTTTGAACCTCATAACTGTCACTGGTGTCTTGGTCCGAATGGACCTCGGGTTCGCTAGGAGGCTGTTTACTCCCACCAGGCAGTACAGGCTCAGAAGTCATCTAGGAAGTACTCTCCCCACAGACGGCGCCAGATGTTTCGGGGTTTTTTTATGTGTCCTGCAGGAGAGTTACAATTCCTAGTATGCGCAATCCGACGTCTGTACCTGCAAAATCACGGAGACTCCGGCTGGGGGGTGGAGTTTCGCCTCCGACGATCAAGTTAGAATGCGTCTAAGATAAAATGTACGGAACAGTAAATACTTCTCGCTGATTGGGAGAATTCTGCAATTATTTATTGCTCGGGGTTTGTGTTTCAATTTGTGTATCCCCAATAAATGAGGTCTGCCCCACTATTTATAGTGGGGAAGTTCAATTCCCCAATTAAGTTTCAAAGGACACGTGTCGCAAAGGGATTGGGGCCTATGTTGATCACTGAGGGGATGACACGTGTCAGGGGCCTATTGGGCCACGCGTCTAGGGTAATTTTTACCCTAAACAGGTATATTTGCTTTAATTTAAAAGATAAGATAGTAGAAGAGGAGGGAGATTAAAAAATATGGCTCAAGAGAGTGCATTTAGTTGATTATAAGAAGGATGATTCTTAGTAGGAGTTGATGATGATATAGAACAGGAGAAAGATTAAGAACTCCTTTTAAGATACTTCCTATTATTGATACAGTTGAGGGTTTTGAGGGTGGGGGGAGGGGAAGGGGCGGTTGAGGGGTTCGAGCGATCGGGGAAGGGTTTTTAAGGGTTTATTTCGTGGGGGAGGGGTTTATGGGATGGGGCTGGAGGAGGTGCGCTGCGGTGTGTATGTGTGTGTGGAGGGGGGTGACGTGGGAGGCGGTGGGGTAGGTGGCCAAGGTGGGTGGTGGGAGTCTTCATGGTTTCCGAAATAAGGGAGAAAAAGAAGTGAACGAAGAGGTGGTTGCATGGTGGTTGTATGGTAGCACTCATTCCTTTTGTTATTTAAAACAAACAACGTTACGGGTTTGTTTGGCAACATTTTTTGTTTTTTTAAAACAAAAAACCAAAATGGAAACAAGAAAAAGGTGTTTTCACTTTTTAGTTGTCAGTTTTCAAAGTTATCATGATTTTAATAAGTTTGACTAATTTTTAATTCATTATATGACATGTATCATATGATTTAGAAAAGAAAACCCAAAAAACAGAAAACCACAGTGATGCCAACCGACAATTTGAGGGGTTTCTATTCCATTTAATTTATTTCCCTTTCTTGAGCTCATTCCTTTACCCTTAGTTGAACCAAACTTCCCCTAAGAGGTAAGTGAGGATAATTGGGGTATTAGTCTTGTATAAGACAGGCGTACGTTAATTTTATTGAAAAAGGTCAAACTGAGAGTAACTTTTATTTAACCATTTTTATGGTAACTTTAACCCCTGTACGCCTGCCTTATTAGTCTTGTATAAGGCAGGCGTACGTTAATTTTATTGAAAAAGGTCAAATTGAGAGTAACTTCTATTTAACCATTTTTATGGTAACTTTAACCCTTTTAAGGATAACTTTTAATTTGTGATGGGTATAATTTATTTTAATGTGTACACTAGTAGAAAAAACATCAAATGCTCCGGTCAAAATAGCCATACATGCTCCGTTTTTGAACCGCATCAATAGTGGACGTAGTAGATTACGGGTTGAAAACGCTCCGGTTCAAAACTGGAGCATAAACTAAGAAAAGGCTCCGGTCCAGCTTCAAACTGGAAGCATATAACCAACTTAATGCTCCGGTTCTTTTAACAAAACCGGAGCATTTTCATGTGTTAATGCTTTGATTTTATATCTTCACTGGAGCCTTTTGTATATATATATATACATATATATATATTTATCTTTTTTTTAATATTGAATTTTTTCGCACCAATGTTTAATTATAGCCTTGTAACCATATATTGCTGCACCCTGTGCGAGTTATCTAGCTGTACTAAATCAAAATTGACTACAATAACAAAATATTATATATTATAAATAACATGTAAATAATTGTACCTACAAATAAAAGTAAGTTGAAATAAAAATTACATAATACACATAAATTTCTAAGTTCAAATAAAATAGTACTAACTACTAATAACGTTCTCAAGGCGTTCAAATACAATTATTGAGCATAAACAAAGCAAACTTGTCTCGTACTTCATCTATCTCGCTAGCATTGAAGGGCTCGAGCCTTTGAGTCTTATAAGCCTAAAACAAGTGAAATCAATATAAAAGACAATTATAATCACAATTTAATAAAAATATAAGAGTTAAAATTCAAGCATTGAGTTAAAATCATGAAAAATGGGCAAGTTAGAACTCATTTTGAACCATTAATACTCTAAATGAACAAAAAACTTGAAAATTTAGTTTTTTTTTTTATTTTTTATTTTTTTTCAAGTCATAAATATTCATAACTAAGTATCTTAGGTGTATTATAGGTGAAAATTCAACCATTGAGCTAAAATTATGAAAAATGGGCAAGTTAGAAGTCATTTTGAACCATTAACAATCTAAATGAACTTAAAACTTCTAAATTTGCTGTTTTTTTTTTTTTTTTTAATGTTGTTTCAAGCCATAAATATTCATAACTAAAATTCTTAGGTTTATTATAGGTGTTAATTCAAGCATTGAGCTAAAATTATGAAAAATTGGCAAGTTAGAAGTCATTTAGGCCATTTTGAACTATTAATACTCTAAATGAACCTAAAACTTGTAAATTTGTTTTTTTTTTTAATTTTATTTTATTTTTATTTTTTATGTTGTTTGAAGCTATAAATATTCATAAATAAGTATCTTAGGTGTATTATAGTTGTTAATTCAAGCATTGAGCTAAAATCATGAAAAATGGGCAAGCTAGAACTCATTTAGGCCAATTTGAACTGTAAATACTCTAAATGAACCCAAACTTGTAAATTTGCTTATATATATATATATATATATATATATATATACACATATGTATATATATATATGTGTGTGTGTGTATGTATATATATATATATATATATATATATGTGTGTGTGTGTGTGTGTGTGTGTGTGTGTGTATATATATACATATATATATATATATATATATGTTGTTTCAAGCCATAATATTCATAAGTTTATATATACATATATATATATATATGTTGTTTCAAGCCATAATATTCATAAGTTTCTTAGGTGTATTATAGGTGTTAATTCAAGCATTGAGCTAAAATCTTGAAAAATGGACAAGTTAGAAGTCATTTTGAACCATTAACACTCTAAATGAACCTAAAACTTGTAAATTTGTTTTTTGTTTTTTTTTAATTTTTTTTTATGTTGTTTCACGCAATAAATATTCATAAATAAGTATCTTAGGTGTATTATAGGTGTTAATTCAAGCATTGAGCTAAAATCATGAAAAATGGGCAAGTTAAAACTCATTTAGGCCATTTTAAACCATTAATACTCGAAATGAACCTAAAACTTGTAAAATTGTTTTTTATGTTGTTTCAAGCCATAAATATTCATAACTAAGTTTCTTAGGTGTATTATAGGTGTTAATTCAAGCAATGAGCTAAAATTAGAAGTCATTTAGGCCATTTTGAACTGTTAATATTCTAAATGAACCTAAAACTTGTAATTTTTTTTTAATAATTTTTTTTTTATGTTGTTTCAAGCCATAAATAGTCATAACTAAGTATCTTAGGTGTATTATAGCTGTTATTTCAAGCATTGAGCTAAAAGCATGAAAAATGGGCAAGTTATAACTCATTTAGGCTATTTTGAACCATTAATACTCTAAATGAATATAAAAATATTATAAATAGTACTTACTTGCTCTATATCTTCCACTGAAGTGCAGCATTTGACTACATCATACATGTACCTCATCATGTAATAGCCACATTCAACACCATCCTTTTGTTGTGCACAATATCTTTTAATTCACATATAAAATGAAATTAATATAAGTATATATTTCTTATTGCTTATTTTTTCCTTTTGATGTTATTATTTACCTTCATTGTTTTCCAAATAGGGATTGATTCCCTTCTTAGCCCACTTTACCTTCATTGTTTTCCAAATAGGGATTGATTCCCTTCTTAGCCCTCTTCCACTAATTTTCTTCATTTGACTACAAAAGCAACACATAAAACATCACATAAGACCACACATTTTTGCCTTATAATAGTAATCTTCTAAGGTATGTAAGTGTATACCTATTTAGATGTATTCTAATCAATACCAGTCTTGGTGTGTCTTCAGTATTAGCATAATCAAACATGTAGATTGTGTTGATAGAGGGACATATCACAAGGAGCATCCAATGGAGACTACAAATACAAATAAGATTTAAGCAAAAAAATATAATGAACATCCTTGTGCAATAGAATTGAAAAACAATCACATTTTTACCTTACAAAATATGGTGGAAGAATGAAATTATGTCCATTGCGAATTAATTCTACGATCTCAATGTGAATGTATAACCTTAATTCTGCCTGGCTACGCAAGCATTATGCATCTCGAGTCTCTTGTGGACACAACCACCCGATCCTTGTAATGGAATCATGTGTGAGCAAATCTTCATATAGGGACCTAATAAACATAAACATTAACTCATAATGGAACTAATAAATATCATCTTTCATGAGAATGACGAATACAAGGCAAGTGTTAGCAAATCACCTCATGAAAACTTGAATAATGGATACATTCAACATTTCACCACAAAGAAACTCATGAACATCCACCTTATGTATCCATGTCGAACAATCTTCCATGTAGTGAAATTGATCCTTTTCTAATGCAACCTATATAGGTTTATCATCTGGCAACTGACAAACACATGAATGCAAATAAAAACATTGACCAGAGAGAAGATCAATTATCGTTTGATCGACCAGTCGACCAACTAGGTTAACCAAATGCGGTGTCGAGCCTTTGGATGATAGCTTTTTCATATGTTGAGTTAAGCTTTGTGTTTGTGATTTGCTATCATTCTTTGCTAGTGAATCTACTTTCTTGGAAAGTGAATCCTTTTCCATAGCATTTGATTCCAAAATCTTTTCTTTATAAAGAGAATCGACATTTGAAATTTTGCGACTTGCACCCACTTTTTTCACATTCCCTTCTGAACCCTTTTTCTTTTCTCCCCTTTTGCACCTTTGGAAATGATAGGTTTCTGCATAGTTTAATATGATAAAAAAAAACACTTATTGTTAAGGCCACAAATTAGAATTAATTGTTTAAGTTGTTTGAGAACGTACTTATTAAATATTACCTGACTTGGAAACCTCACTAATGAAATTGGCCATGCAACAAAAGTTGATTTAGCATCTCTCAAAACAAGAAGGTTATTATTAGGCGTCGGGACTGGAAGAGCAAGCTCCTTGCAACCATCTACGATGATGTCTACAGACACCGCCAAATTCCTACTGGGTACAAGAGAACCATGCACTTTACGACCCTCCATGGTTGGTTGTGCATGACCATAAGCAACTACAATCACCCCAACAACAACTGAACCATCACGAAGGAGAAGTTCACATGGGGTTTCTTCCTGGAAAAAAATTCCATGATTAAATCATCAATGTACATATAAAACAAGCACTTATAGCATAAAGAGGTTTACTTTGATAACTTAGCTTACCACTAACTCAGGTATTGGTGGATCTACTGTTTGATCAACTATTACTGGATGAATTGGCTGATGTGGTAACTGATCAACTATAGGTGATGGCATGACTGAATTCAGATGGCTAGCTTTATCTTGCACTGTAGTTTCGGTATCATTACCCAACTATAAGCTCGACAAACCTAGTCTCTGTAAAACCGCCAACACATTTGCTTCGACCTTTGCTTCCACCTCACCTTCAACTTCTTCTCTAATTGTAGCTTTGATGGTCTCCATATCTTGTGTTTGTACACTAGAGCTTGATCTTATGGCAGTAGAGTATGCATCACCGAATACCTTTCTCACCCGGACATTTAAACCACCTTTCCTCTCATATGCCCACTATGGTCCTTTCCAAAAACCATGTACAAGGCATCCTTGTCTAGAATTGGCTTAAACTCTCCAAAATCTTCCTTATTCCATTCAAGTTGTTAATGCAAACAAATTGTATGTTAACTACTTACATGACTTATGTTTCGGGGTTTTTTGATGTGTCCTGCGGGAGAGTTACAATTCCAAGAATGCCCTTCGACCGCCTGTACCTGCAAAACCACGAAAACTCCGGTTGTGTGGAGCTCCGCCTCCGACGATCAAGTCAGTGATGTACGGGAGGAAGAAAGTGCGTAAAAGAGTAATTACTTCTCGCGTAATGGGAGAATTCCGCAATTCAGATTGCTCGGTTTTAGTGTAAAATGTATTTATGATAGTATTGAATGCCAATTGATTGTAAGTGAATTCTTTTGGAAGGAATTGAATACCCCATTAATGAGGACTCTCCCACTATTTGTAGTGGGGAGCATTGGTTCCCCATTTAGGGTTCCTGGGACACGTGTCAGCCGGGGATTGGAGCCCTGCTGACCAATAGCAAAATGCCACATGTCGCGCTGCCATTGGGCCACGTGGCTGGGGTAATTTTACCCCAAACATTTGCCCCTCTCAGGTGCTGACGTGGCAAGGCACCTGAGAAGAGAGCTGAAAGAGAAAATATATATATATATATATATTTTTTTTTTTTTGAACTCCTTCAAATTCTAACTGAAGGAAGAGGGAAAAGCAGAAGGGGAAGGGTCGCGCCCCTTCGCCTTCCGAGACAAACCCTATAAATAGGGGAGGAAGCACACGAAGCCTCATTTACAAACTTCGTGAAATTTCTTGAATTTTGAGAGCATCTGGCATTTCAGAGCATCCGGTACTTGAAATTCAGAGCACACGGAGACTTCATTGTTTTAAGAGCAGCCGGTTTTCAGACCGCCTGTGCAGTTGTAAGCAAGCAAAAGTTTTTCGAGAGGATACCTCAGAGAACCCAGCCGGTATTCAAACCGCCTGTGTCTTCGCAAGCATCCCCAAGAAATTTCTTGAGGTTTTCAACCCTTTACTCTAGGTACCGTCTCTATTCTTTCTTGCTTTTCCATGTATTTCCGTTTGCGTCTTTTGCTTGCATTTTTGTTTACAAGTCCCATAGGTAGATGGACCCTTTATACCCATACCCGGACCATAGTTGTGAACTCAGCCGGTCAATTAGTACGGCTGAGTCTAGAACTGGATCTGCCGCCTCTGATCTTTGGAATTTCCCCTTTTCAACGCCTGTATCGACCGACTCCGTGTCTGTGCAGGACACCATGGCCAGAATTAGGGGAACAGCAATGGACCCCAATTACAGAGGGGGGACTCGAACGAGTTATCGCCTGAAACTCGAGGACCAGACGGGGAAGTTAGAGAACCATCCGGCGGTACCCCCGCCACCCCAAGCGATAGCATTCTAGGCTCCAACAACGAGGAGACCTCTCCGGCTGAGGAGGCTGAGCAGCCAGGAGCTGCCAATGATGCTCCCAACTCCCCAGCCGGTTCCGATGACGGACGGGTTGAAAGTAGTAGCTCTAGCTACTTAACCGTATCAAAGGATAGCGTGGAGGCGGAGAGGCCTTCGTGGCAAAGCCTAAACGACCCTCTCATGATCGCCGTCTCCCTAAAGGACCGTGCCCTCATGCGGTCTTCCCTTCTAGACTTTATTACCAGGCGGCCGCTTGGTGAAGGGTACAGGATGACTGTGCCGGGGAAGTTCGGGACGGTTGTATGGGAGGATGACCAGCCCAACGCTAACAGCTGGTTTGGATGCTACAAGGCGGCTTTCCTAGCCGGCGTCCGCTTCCTCCTTCACAACACAATCAGGGCCATACTTAGGGGGTATGGCCTTGGCATTTGGCAGCTCACCCCAAATTCCTGGGTGAATATTTTAGGGTACATCGCCGCCAGCGAGATGCAGGGTCTCAACCCCGGCTGGGAGGCGTTTGCCCATATGCACTATTTGAGCCGGAGCCCAGGCGGCTGGAGGGCCTGGTATACTTTGACTACTCACCCTAAATATATGATGACCTCGGACAAGCCGTCCAAATGGTCGGACTGGAAAAACCGGTTCTATTTGGTCAAAGCTCCGTCTGAAGAGGAGAACAAGGAGTACCGGACCTACAACCGGAAGCCAGAGCTTTTGGGGCAAAAGTGTCGGCTGCCCCCTGTTCCTGATACTGACAGGGTGGCCATTCTGGACTCTGGTTCCTTCGAGCTGACCTCTACCTCTCTCACATCCGGAGAGATAATAAGGGTACCCAAGAACTGGGTGCCCAAACACGAATTTTTCAAGGATGAGTGCTTCTTGTCCGCCTGCGGGCTTAGCAGCATGTGGAAAACCAAAGGTTACGAGCCCTAGCCGGTTTATTTATTGCCGGCTGACCTTTTTCCCTTTATTGCAATGTGATTCATATTTCTGACCGGATGTATTTTCGTTTTGCAGAAGAAGCTAAGAAGATGCTACCGTCCGCCAAGACACCCGCAAGAAAGGCTTCAGATATCCGAAAGGAGAATCTGGAGAAGAAACTTGCCGCTCAGGCGGCTAAAAAGGTTAGCCCGCCTGACCTTCTCTATGTGATTGGCTTAGATGTTGTTTTAGCTGTTTTATTCATCTAACCGTTTGCGGTCTTGTTTCAGGATGGGGGTGTTATTCCCCGTTCCTTGCAAAAACAGATCCGGCCAAGGCCGTCTGTTGAAGAAACGGCACTCAAGGTGCCAAAAACTGCTTCTACCGACCGGGCTACAACCGGCGGTAAAACAATAAAGACCCCAGGCGGGTCTAACACTGAGAAGGCCTTAGAGGCCACTCCAATAAGGACCGCAACTGGTCCATCTGCTTCTGGAAGCCAAAAGGCTTCCCAAAAAGGTACAAACCCCTTTGATCTCACATTGCTCGACATACCCATACGGGTAAAATTGTACTCCTCTTCGCAGCCGGGAGATTCTCCGATCAGCCGGCTGTCCGTTGGTGGAGCGTACGCAGCATTCTCACCGTCTGTTTCTGGTGCAGATAACTCACCACGCTGGCCGGACGCTGCTCAATACGCCCGGGCCATGCTGAAAGCCTTCCCCCGGGACGAGAAGGAGGCGATTCCTGGAATCAATACCTTTAACGCCGACCGGGTTATGGTCGACTTGGCCGATGTAAGTCACTGAGTACCCACCCGGCATATAATTTGTAATAAACCCATCCGGTCTTTCAACTAATACCGGTTGCGTTGTTGTTGCAGGCACTGCTCCGCGTGGAGGGGCTTAAGAAGGCCTACATCCGCAAACAGGAAGAGGTAAGAGGAGCCAAACGTTCTGCGGATGACGCACATAGCGTTGCTCACTATTCCATGATTGTGCATGACTTAGAAACTAAAGCTATAATCATGCAACAGGCGGATCAGGTCAAGTCCCTCCAACGGGCCCTTTCCGAGTCCAAGCTCAAAATCGACAACCTCCAGGCGGCCCTGGATAACGCTGAAGATGAGCTTAAAAAGCATGAAGAGCCCCTCAAGCGGCTCGACCAGGCGGAGAAGAGCAGCAAACGGCTGCAATTAGAGAATGACCGCCTGGTCAAGGAGGCTGCCGATGCTCAGCGCAATTTCCAGTCCACCTTAGAGGCTGATCAGAACTGGCTCATAGAGGAGAATGAGCAGGACTGCCAGAACAGAATGAAGAGGGCGTTCTCCATCATCCACCCGGGTGCAGACTACAACGTCTGGGAGCTCGCCTATAAGTATGCAGACCTGGCCATTCTGGCTGAAGAGGAGGGCCAGGCGGGGCCCAGACCGTATGAGCAATGGGTGGAAGCCGAGTTCCAGCGAATGCAGGCGGAAGCGGCTGCTTTGAAGACGACAGTCGAGGATGAGGATCCCGGCTCCGTTCCCAACACCGACCCAACTCATCCGGAAGGGAGCCAGGCTCAGGGCGACCGGGTAACAGTGAATGTAGAATAGCAACGACCTCCCGGCCTGCGCGCCTTGCATTATCTTGTAATAGCGCCGGAAGGGTCGGATTACTCTGCTATTGTCTTCTATTTTGAGCACTGATATTTTCACCGGTTGTGCCGGTTTATCTTTTTGTAAACAATTTTAACATTTTTCACCGGCTATGCCGGTTATTTCTGCTATATTTCAACCGGTTGGTCCGGTTTTGAATGAATTTGCTTCCTTTCCTTTTTGTTGTTTTGAATGTCTTGAATGTCACATCTTTCTTGCTTTGATAATTTTGCGGGGATAGCCAAGAAAACCCAGCCGGCATCACCGCCGTCTGTGTCTTCGCAAGCTAGGCAAAGAAATTTGTGAAGGTAGGCAAAGAAATTTGCGAGGGTAGACAAGAGAACCCAGGCGGTAACCTTACCGTCTGAGTCTTCGCAAGCAACTCTATATTGTTTTTTTGCCTTGTGTAAACCATGAATGTTTTACCGTATTCTTTTTGAATGAATGTGTTTCCGCATGACTTGTTGGGGTTAGGGTAGGTAATTACCCCTGGATAGGAGACTGGTTTAGACGAAATGGTGCCAGGCGGCTATCCATATGCTATAGCGCAAATGC